GTGGTCGGACTGGTTTCGCGGCCACCTCAACAACGGTTATCAGCTTTTGTACACCGGCACGGGGAACGGGAACCGCGGACCCGGCGGGGGAACGCACTGCGGCTTGGGCGACCGGTGCTACTTCTTCATCAAGTACGGAAACTGCAAGAAGATCCACACAGCGGCCGAGAAGGAGACTTTGCGCAAGAAGCGGGCCGAGTACGTCGCCAAATTTGGCGAGAACAAGAATCCCCCGTGACTATCTAGTGGAAACACGAAACGCAGCAGCCGGAAAGAAAACAGCACAGCCACGCGCCGCGACGTGGCTCCGGCCTGTGCTGCAAAAGATTTTGATGTGAATTCTGCACGACCTGTTCCTTCCCCATGTACAGTTTTCGTTCCACCTTCCAGACCTACAGCGCGCGGCACTTTGCCGCAAGCAAAAACAAGCACTACCAGCACTACCACTACGTCTTCCTCCTCCGAAAGCCTTTTGCAGACGGACGGGAAGAAGATTTCGACCAAGCGGTCCGGCAGCCTTTTGCAGCCGGAGCGCAACCATGAAGACCGGGAATCGGAGGCAGCTACCGCAGCGGGTAGCGAGCAAGACAAGCAGACGCCAACCGATTTCGGGTCGACTTTGATGATGAAGAACGCATGCAAAAATGAGTGTGAATCTCGTGCAAAAATCCAAAACGTACAGACCAGCACTACCACGGGCAGCAGCGCAGCCGTGGAACGACTAAAACTGGTATACCTTAGCCGGGGCGCCGACCTGGTTACCGCAACACTTTTCGCCTGTTTCGACACTGGGGCAAGCTCACTGGTGTTTCCGGAGGACGGGGCGAATGAACTCGGAGCACAGGTCGTTCAAACCGGACCGAAAAAGACGTGGGAGACGGCCAAGGGAGCAATAGCGGATTTGGGGTTTTCCAACATTGCGATGCGGCACAGGAAAACGGACGGACGGTGGACCGCGTGGCGACCCGGGTGCTGGCGAGTGCTCCCGGGGCGGTTCCACCCTTTGGTGGGTCGAAGCTTTCAGCGGCAGCTAGGGTTCCGCAACGAAACTAGCAACAGCGGGGAGATGCTAGTATTGGCGGGCGATCACCTCCGGGTGAACAGTGCGGAGGACATTCTTCTGGTGGAGACAGAGTTCCGGCCCGCAAGCCCGCGGGAACAGGTTTTCTCGATCTTCCTTAGCGGGTTCCTGACCGGCCCCCAGCCGAAGTCGATCGCCGAGCTTTTTGAACGTTTTCCGCGAATCACGAGGGAGCGCAAAGAGTGGCTAGTGCGGTTGCACTACAACGGCGGCCACTTTGCGACCCTTGGGGAGAAGATCAAGGACGCTGCAGAGCGGGAATTTTTCGAAGGAATCCGAAAATACGACCTGTGCGAGGAGTGCGCCACCTTCGACAAAACGCGCGACATCCTCCACCCGGTGGGGTTTAGCCAGTTCGCAGCACGGCCCCGCCTTCTAGTCGGGGGCGACGCCGTTAGCACCGCCCTTGGGGTGGTCTATCACATGTTCGATTTCGGTGCACAGAAGCGGGTCTTGCACCTGATCGACCACCACTTGCCGGAGAAGACGGGCGCGAATTCCGCAAAGCCACCGCCGCAGGTTCCGGCCGCTCTGCACCGCTTCAAGAGCCGCGCCGGGGGGTTCCCCACTTGCTTCATTTACGACGAGAAAACGGACCAGATCAATGCAGAAGTGGAGGAGTTCTTGTTGGAGAGTGACATAATTGGCCTGCCCATCCCGTTCAAGTCGCCGCACATGATCGGGAAGGAGGAACGGGCGCACGCGAAGTTCAATAAAAGTCTGAACAAAATTTTGTTGCTGACCGGGGGGACCAAGATCGCGCTTTTGGAACAGATTGTCGGCCTGCGGGGTGTTTCCAAGGCTATTGCGGATTTCGCGGACACGGTGTACAACTCGAAGAAGGTCGACGCGGACCAGTTCGAGCTGAAGGAAAAGCTTTTGGACTACTGCGAGGAGTTGTTGAATTCCTGCCCGGGGGCGCATGGTACATGCTACAGCCCCAACAACCTCGCCCACGGCCACTGCGAGGGCAACGACGACCGGGGGTCGCGCTACATCCTGCAACAGTTCGGGTCGGCTTTGCAGGAGCAGAAAAAGGCGATGATCGAGGTGCAGTGGAAGGAGATGTTGAGTCGGGTTCGCCGTTTCAACCGCGGATACAAACTGAGCCGCTCCATCACGAACATTTCCGAACTAAGGCCGGGCGACACGGTTCGCATTTTGCGGGCCCACGGCAAACAGTCGGAGAACTGGCACGGGGGGAAGGCGCACTGGAGACAGACCGGAACGTGCGTTGGGGTGGATCCCCTCAAGGGCGAGGCTTTGGTGAGGCCTTCAGGCAGCAACAAAATTCTTCCCTACCGGGCCGCCCAGGTGAAGAAATTCGTGATGAGCGCAGAAGAGATTCAGCCCGGGAGACCTTTGGCCGACTACATGACCGCCCCCATTGAGTTCCACCCGCTTCCAGGAATTTCATCGCCTGAAGACCGCAAGCAACAAGTTTCCGCACCGGGGGCGGTCGGGACAGGCGAAGAAAAGAAGACCACAACTTCCGGGAACAACAGCAAGCTACCAGTCGCAGCAGCGGCAGAACCGACGTTCCAGCCGCCGCGCAAAATCATAAAGGAGGAACGAAAGCGGGGCCGCCCGCCAAAGCCAAAGCCAGCGTCTACCGTGCAACCACTCGAACCTCCGCGACCACCACCAGAAGCAGTTCCGCAGCAAGCTGAGGCGGCCGGCCAGAAGAGAAGCGCGCAGGACCTTCTCGAGGAGGAAATTTTTGGGTCGCCCATTCCCGCGGAGCCAGCTAGCAAAGCCAGAAGACTGCTGATGACGAGTTGCGACGCGCTCTTCACGCGCGACAAATCTTCACCGGAAACAAAAATAGATGACCGCGGCGCGGCTTTTTCCACCTTCAACATCTCCAACGGACCAGTTTACAACTGCGAACTAACCGAGGCGGCACAAGCGTTTGTTGCGCAAACCAGCACGAAACGAGCGCGGGTGGAGGAGGAAGATGACAAGTTGTTCTTGGTCGAAGCGGACCCGGTGGAGCGCGATCCGGTGCTACGGACGGCGGGGGACTGGGAGAACCAGCTGAGGGCCATCGAAAGCAACACAAACTTCCTGCAGGACCTGATCACCCAGCGCGGCCGCCAAACAGTCTTCAAGTCATCCTTTCGCGATCCGGTAGTAGCGGAAATAAACAAAATCCTAAACGGGCGACCGGTTTCAGGGACGGCGGCGGGCTTCGGGGGTGATGTTTACGTGGTTGAAGCGAAGGTGTTTCGCAAGGGCTGCCAAGTTCCACCAACTCTTCGCGGGTACGACCAGGCCTTCCGCTTCGGGCACCAAACCCCGTTCCAAGTTTTCGACCCGAGCCAGGACAGGCCACAGCGGGAAGACCTTCACTTGTTTTTGAAAATCGAGCAGCCGCGGGAGGTGAACTGGGAAGCAGTGACGCCAAACGGGTGCAGCGTCGAGCTGACGATGGCGCAGATAGACAAATACGGCCTGTGGCACCTGGTGGACGAAGCAAGGGCGGCGGAGGTCAAGGGAATCCAGGCCCTTGGGGTTTTCGACATGGGCAGCCAGCAAGACGACAGGCCGGCCGGGGCCTCTGTGGTGGCGAGCCGGATCGTCTTCACTTTGAAGTTCAATTCCGGGAAATTTGTCAAGGCCAAGATGCGGTGGTGCGCGAAGGGCTTCATGGATTCCCGCTTGGAGGGCGGGAAGTTGGAGAAGCGTTGCCACACCCTCTGCGACAGTTCCCTGCTGGTGATTTTGCACTGGCTAAGCAAGCACAACAAGCTGGCAAACATCGCGGACATCAGCCAGGCTTTTTTGCGCGGGGACCTTTTGCTCGACCCCGTCTGGCTGGAGATCCCCACCGCGATCCAAGGCAACACGGCTTTCGGCTTCCAGGCGAAGTACATAAAGCTTCGCCGCTGCTTGTACGGGCTTGCGGATGCCCCTTTAGCGTGGCAAAAAGTTCTTTTTAGGAGCTTGAAAGAAGCAGGGTGGCGGCAGGACCTGCAAGACCCGTGCTTGTGGTACTTCCCCAAGGAGAAAGCAGAACCAGCAGCGGCAGACGAGAAACGAACCACCGGAACCGAAGCCGGGCCAGAGGAGACGCCCGCGGAGCCAAGTGGCGACGAGGAGAGGAGAAACGCAAACCCGCTGCTGCGCAGCAGCATCGACGACCCCTTGCTCGAGGAGCAAGAAATAGAGGGGATTTTGGGTGTTCACGTGGATGACACCATCTACGGCGGGTCGCAGCGCGCACACGAAAGTTTGGAAAAGGTCTTCGAACAGTTCCCGCCAGGAAGCCGGACCTGCCTGCAGCCGGGGGACAGCGACAATTTCTGCGGCCGCTCCATCAAATGCACCAAGCACGGCGAGTTGCTGCCAGAGGAGAAAAAGAAAAACGGTTTCGAGCTGAAAGAGGGGGAGAAGATCGTCGCGGGCGCGGATTCGGACTGCGCGTTGGCGTTCGAAGTCGGGCAACAATCTTTCATCCGAACCATGTCCCCGATCACCGAAGACGAAGTACAGAAATTCTTCGCAAACAGAAGGAGAAAATCGCCGCTGCGGAGGGCGATCGGGGAGCTTATGTGGGTCACAAAATGCCAGGTGAGTTTTGTGGCCAACATTTGCATCCTCGCCGGCATGGTGAACGACGAAGCGGAGGAAGAGGAGTACAGCGCGCTAGTGGCGGAGGTTAATGACTTGATCGGGCAAGTCAAGGAGCACGCGGGCGACGCCATACACATCCGACCAACTTCCCAAGCCCCAGATGTAATTCTTGGCTTGGTAGACGCGTCGCTGGTGCCGCGGCTCGGTGCGCTAGTGTGCTTGCTGAACAAAGAGAAGGCTGCTGCGGGACAGGGCGAGGACGGGAAACAAGAGTTGGTCTACAACATGATTACGCACTACAGCTCCAAACCTTCCAGAGTTTTTAGCAGTTCCACAAGTGCGGAACTGCTTGCCATCCGCCTGATCATCAGCGAGCTTTTGTACTTTCGCGGAATTTGTGTTTCCGCTGGCCTCACCCTGTCGGTGCAGCCGCTGGTGATCTGCACCGACTCCAACAACATCGTCCGCAGCAGCAGCAGCACCATGATCCGGGCACCTAGTGAACGCAATTTGCGGGCGGACTACAACTTTATTTCGCGGCTCATCCAGGACGGCGACTTGCTGTTGTGGCATATCAAGGGCGCGGCGAACCCGAGCGATATATTGACGAAGCAGGTGGAAAAATGCAACCTGGAGATGGTTCGGGAGTTTTTGCAGCACCACAAAGCGCAGTTTGCGCTTCCGCCGGAGGTGCTGTGCATGCTGGGGGACGGTTGAATTTTATAACCCGAACCGCCGGCCGGGGAGGCCGTCGCGGTTTTGTTTCTCTTTTTGGCTGTTGAGTGTCCGCGGAAGCTCCACAACTATGAGCTCAACTTCAAGTAAGATTTTTAGTAAAAAAAAAAACCCTTCGCGCGACCTGAATCGCGCGAAAAGCAGCTGACAGCTTAACCCGCGGCACCTTGTAGCTCTATCGGTTTTCAAATATAATCATGTTGCATTTTTCAACTTCCAACTTCGGTTTTATTTTTGTATGATATCTACCAGACATAGTGCGAAACTCGCGTTCTCAGGCTTACAGAGCACCTTCCAGCCAGGTCCTCGACCACTATAAAAACCTTCTCTTTCGTTTCGTCGCCTCATGTAAGATTTCAGAAAAAGTAATCTAAATCTCGTTTCTACTGCCGCAAGACCTTTTTCATTTTGTAGAAAAAGTTCCAGAAAAATGAACTACTTCTTCTTTATTTCTCCTTCCTGTTCTCCTCCAGACACGGCGAGAACAGGAGTTTTGTACCTTTCAGAACTAATCCAGAAAAATGAAGTTTTCCATGCTGTTTCGCACTTCGTTATCGTTTCTTTGTACTTTTGGCATTGCACTCTTCACATGAGGTTCTCGGTCTTCTACATGACTTTGCACTCAGGCACTTTCTCCAATCTGTCATGCTCTTTTGTACAAAACTCTCTAGGTTCGATGTCTTCTAGCAAAAAAATATCGTCGTGTACAATTTCAAAAAAAACTCTATCTCCGTGTACAGTTTACACCTTCGTCTGTCGGCATCTCTTCCCGCTAAGGAAGCTAGTTTCGTGGTCACCGTTTCGAGGTCAACTGTTTTTATCTTGTGGTGATAGGTTTCACCATCTCGTGGTCAATTTTTCGAGGACAAAAAAAAACTAGTATACTGCTATCGAGGACACGGGGTGCAAGGGCACCAAGTACGAGGACACAAGCAGGTGCCAGGGCACCTATTTCGGGGACACAAAGAAAACGTCTCTTCCGCTCCTGGCCCATACGACAATAGGTTTACTACTTTTTCCTTTTTGCTCCAGCGCAAAAAAACTTATTTTTGAGAAGGGGGGTGTAACAATTGTGGTGTTGGTGGGGTGCACACCACCAGCGCCACAAACTGTGATGCCTGCGCCTGTAAGTAGATCGTAGATTTTACAGCGTTAAGCCAGTCGCGTCGTACTTAGCCTTCTAGGGTCGTAGTCGTATGCCAGGAGTGGGGGGAGAGAATCGGAAGGCACAAGAGAGAACTCCGTGTGGTAAGATCGTACTCAGGTCGTAGCTCGTGGATGTCCGCATGCTGGCACACAAGGAAGAACTTCATGCACAATGTGACTGCACTGGGGTGCTCTTTAGGTTGGTTCTACTATCTCGAGTTCCGGACGAAGGTCGTCTGGTGGTTCTGCCGCATCTGGGAAGCGTGTTCCTAGTGCGTTGCTAAGATAGTTCGATGCTATTTAACAGCCGTGTTTGCCGGGTATTCCATAAGAAAAATCCCCTCCTTTGTCCAAATTTTTCTGTGTTTTTGTGGAGATCAAAAATTTTGAAAAATTATTGACGTGGTGAATCCCAGGTAAAATACAATGAAAATTATGCAGGTGGGCAGTGTTAGATGTCAGCCCGCCATCTCTTTCCATCTGTAAGAGTTTACTGAATTCATTGGGTCGGTCTTTGAGTAATTTTACAAAAAGGCACAGATTGTATAAAATTTCTGATGTTGTAAATACCCTTAGGAATAAGATTGAAGGATATATGTGAAATGCAAAAGATGCATGCTTTTAAGCGCTGTCGTCATCTCCTGACTCAGAAAAGGCTGGGGCTTCCGCCTTTTGTGTAATTTTCTGAAATCGCGAAACGATTGGGCCATGCTCCCCCCCCCCCGAGGCTTGGGCCATCTTATCTTTTAGGGTGGCGATTGGCCTCCGTCGATCGAGAAGGAGCGCACGCCCCGCCGTGGCTCCCTTTCCATATCCTATCCCATGCGGGAACGGCATGCCTGGCCCGCATGGTGCGCAAACACTTACAGCGCGAATTCGCACCAATCGCGTCTCTTATGCGGACGGCTTTGGGCACCTGCGCCGATGAATTGGGTGCGCAAAAGCATAGACGCTGCGCCCTATCGTCGCGCTTCATCGGGGCCCGACGCCGGTTCTTCCCGCGCGAGCCGGCGCTGGTTATGCAGTGGCCCGATGGCGCAAAAGGGCCGCGGCGTTGCCGGCAAGTTCGCCAAGCGACCGCGGGCGGACTTTCGCAGGCGGGGCGGGTAGCCGCGTCGAAAGGTCGCCCGCGCGGGCGCTCCCCGAGGCTGTGCGCTGCTTCCGCGCCGGATCGTCTCGGGCGAGCGCGATCGGGGCGGGTCCCGGCCGGCGCGGCGGCCCGCGGCGGTTCCCCGCCCCGCGGTTAGAGTTTCCGGAACCCCGATGCGAGCAAGTCTTTAGCCCCCCGGCGATGCGCCCAGAGCGTGACGCCCGCGGGCGGCTGTGCCTTGCGCCCCCCGCCCCCTCAACAGCACCGCCGCGCGCGATTGCGCGGGGCGGAGGCAGCTCGTCGGACGGCGTCGCGTTTGCCTCCCCTGGTGCCGCGCCTCTAGGGCGCGGGCCGGCTCGTTTCTTTCCCGCGCCTTTGCCCGCCGCCGGGCCCGACGAGGCGGCAAGGCCCGGCTTGGCAAGGCACAATCTCGCGCGATGAACTCGGCTACGTCGCACGACAAGGCTACGAGAGCCGCAGTTTTTCGCGCCGGTGTTCGTTTGCTAGATCGGTCGCGGCCCCGGACGGCCACGCCACCCTTCCCTGCGCCGCGGCAGCCCGAGTTCCTGACTTGTTTGTTCGTGTTCCTGCTTTGGGCCCAGCTTTGGACAAGCAAACGATCCGGCAATCGAGGGAAAGCCATTTCGTACGTGGCCCACCTATTTTCCAGATCCACCTAGAATCGTCAGGTCCAAGGCATCAATGCAGCAGCGCTCGGCCGGATGCGAAATCCTATGGCGCGTCGCTTGTTCATCCTTCCTAGCGGCAGGTTGCGCTGCGCTAGGGTGAGTGGATAAACGTATGCAGAAAAGTAGTTGACACTCCGCTCGGTGTAGCAAGCCAGCCCACGACCGGGCTGCTACAGTGCTGTTATTACCGAGGTTCTTTGCACGGGAGACGGTTCTACTGCGGCCGATAATCGTCGACAATTGCGAAGAGGAAAAAGAAGAGAAATTTGTCCACGTCGATCCCTCGCTTGTTTTATCACGGCACCCCAACTACGATGACAAGTCCGACAACTTCCACCGCGGTGGAGTCCTCCTCCACCGCAACCGCAAAGGAGCGCCAAGGCGTGGTGTTTGACCGGTGGCCGTTTCGGCTGGACATCGCCTACGAGTACCAGTGCTGGATTCTCGTCGCGATGTCGGTGTTTTGCGCAACCATCTGCCTCCTTCCCTGCTTGTGCGGGGTGTTCCGGTCCAAAATTTCCAAGCGGTTCACGGTCTGGGTGTACTCCAGGCTGCACACCTTTTTCTGCGTCTATCAGAAGCAAAAATCCCCCCTCCCCACATCGAAACGAAATTTCTGATGCTGGATTTGCGTACACAAATCAGATTTGTCTTGCAGTAGAGGACTGCATGCCCATATCATGCCCATGCACAGAGGGACATCAGGAACGTCTAGGCCGTAGGAACAGCAGCATTACAAACCGCCTGCATAATGGGGCGGAGACTGTGGTGCTGCGTTCTTGCATCACAGATGCGATTTGTGGTCACAAATCAGCACGAGAAATTTTTTGAGGCGTGCCTTATCGATATGGGGAGAGGGGATTTTTCCTTACGATAGCGTCGCCTTCTACTTCAACGTCACGGTGTTGTTCTTCACGGTGGGTCTGCTCCCAGATTGGACGATCAACGAGTACGTGGCGGTATGGGAGAGAAATTTTGCGTTTTCCTTGTCGCGCGTGGCACTTTTGCCGGTGATGCACTTTCGTACCCAAAGGAGCAGCTGTACTAGTGTGCACATCATTCTTTTTTCAACCGTCGCACAAAGTCTGACAGCAACCGGCTCCTCTACCGTCATGCAAAGCGTCGAGATCATTCCAGCGCGGCGTGTTGCATAACTTGCCTAAGTATTGTAACCCAAAGAGAAGGTTGCTGCAACGCGAAGGAAAAATTGGTTTTCATCCCAAGCTATACTCGATATGTTTCGACTTTCTGGATTGGATGTTGATCCACACCGTGAAGTTCCTGGTCTCTGCGCTGATCCTGCTGGGCCTGTTCATTCTCGTCAGGTCCAACTTCTTGAAGTTGAAAGTTTTCTTTGTGATGCGTAAGTGGTTTGCCAGAGTTCCTTGTCATGCGGAGCCCCAACAGTAAATGCGCGACAAATTATGCACCACCCAAAATCCTATCAGGTTCAAGGAGCGCATCGCCGCTGCCGCCGGTGTGGAGCACATGACCTTTTTCCGCCTCGGAAAACTGAACCTCTTCCACACCGCGCAGCTCCGCGGCATCGAGGTGATCATTTGGAAGGTGGAGGAGCTTCCCTCGGGCACGGGGCTGAAGCCCAACGACGTGTATTTGGAATGCCATGCCGGCCAGAACGAACCGACAAGGACGCGGGTGCACAACAACGCGGGAGCGTATCAAGAAGAAAAATCCCTCCTCCCCATATCAAAACGGAAATCTGTGTTGCAGATTTGCAGGCACAAATCAGCTTTGTTATGCTAGAAGGGGAAAGACCCGGACTGTAGTGCTGGGTGGCCTGGGGAAGCCTTGCATCTTCAGCATGGCAGGAAGCAATTGGAAGTGGGAAACAGCATGACAAATTGCCTGCAAACGAGGCCACAACTGCGGCTCTTGGCCTCCTAGCATTACAAGTCGATTTGTGTACTCAGATACAGCATCACACATTTTGTTTTCGATATGGGGTGGGGGGATTTTTCCATTTGATAGAGCCGCGGCGGTGATCAAGGAAACGTTTCAGGTATACTGAAGATAACTACACTGCAACATATTGAAGATAACTATCACTATCCGTTTTATGCATTGCAAATATGGATTTGTGATGCGAAATTTCAAGGACAACAAGTACAAGACTTGTATTGCATGAAGATGAGGATGATCATCCCCAGGTCAACATTGACGAGAACGACGTGGAGGAACGGTTCACACTTTTGGTAAAAGACCAAGAGCTATCCTGTGCAAAAGTATCGTACTCTTATTGCAGTCATGCGCTACAAATCTTTTTCTTAAGGCAAATCCGCATTACTTCTCATGCTGAGGAAATTTGTAATGCATTTATACGAGTACGATACTTTTGCAATGCATAAGAGCTCCTAGTTTCCTCCGTGCTGTGCAAGCTCCAGCTGAAAACCAAGGATGTTCTTGCGATTGAGGCGCAGACGGGCAAGGTGAGCGAAGATTTCGTCTACGACGCGAATGCGTTTTCGCAGCTCCAGCTGCAGCCGCGGGGAAAAATATGGCTGCGGGTAAACCCCTTGGAAGACGGGGAGCAACAGCCGTTGACGAGTGGACTGTGCTGATTCCACGATTTCCGCTCACGACTGCTGAAATTTACCAAGACGGGTGAGGTGATTGTTAGCCCGCGAAGGTCGAAGACGATGCGTTAATGTGCAGCTGTTGAAGCAGGTGCCTAGAAATGCATCTTGGACGTTGTTGCTCGTGGCTCTTCTCTTCTTGGTTTTTGTCTTTATCGTCTTGTTCTTCACGACCCTCGTGCGGCTGCAAAGGTAGGCCGCCGACGGCGCTTACTAGGAAAAGCAACTGCAGGAATCAACTTCGACGGTTGGTTGTGACAGCACCCTTTCATTGCCAAGACTTGGCTTATCCTAGAAGATCACCCAGAAAACGGACGAGATTAAGTTGTGCAAAATTTGTTTTCTCGATCTGCAATTTTTCTCATTTCCACACAGGTGTCTGGTTTGTTTCACAGCGACATTAGCTTTTAACACGTCGCATACGCGACGCGTGTCGTTGCTATATTCACTTGTAGTCGCGATTTCAGTTTCAACATTCGGCACGTCATTTTTCAGATCTGTCTGAACAATTTAGAATCTTCTTGCTGGTTCTTTTTTACTCATACTTGGTAAAATTTTCATTAATTTTGTGGACGTTACAAGTAGACTGACATCATGTCGCGTCATTTGCTCTTTGAAACAACGTCAACCGCTCTGGAGCGGTCGCGACCCTCGCTTCCGCGGCTGAGAATAGGCGGGAAAAACACCAGTGCCGGGGCACTACCGTCTGTCTCCCCTGCAAACAAGCCGCAGAAAGCGGGTCTACCGGCGCCCCTGCTGACCGGCTCTTACACCTTCGGTGGCAGCAGCAGCTCAACTGCACCTACTTGGGGAAGGCGAGGATTCTCAAGTCATTCTGTTGGGAAAGGGTCCTGCGTTGCAGCGGAGACGCCAAATTTCTTTTCTCCCCAAACCATGAAGCCGCGACCAAATACCGGGCTGTCTCATCTGCCACAAAGCAACCATGCGTGGCGAGGGCGGGCCGAGTGGGAGGAGCCAGCAAGTAGACACAGAGCTTACAGCACCAAGAGCACAGCATCGCAAGGTTTGTTCGACAGGAGGCAAGGGCTGCTGCGGGGAGCGGCGAATTTTTGTGGTCCGAGAAGTAGACTGGGAGCAGGACGAGGACTCTTCACGAAAAACAGCTTCTCCTCATCCCCAATACGAAATACATTAAGCTCCCACCAGCAGCACCACCCGCCCCACAACAACCTTCTGCTGCCTCGAGTCCGCACCATGATCATGATCCGCGAGACAGAGAACGGAGAGAGCAAGGATCCAAAAAAGAAACAGAAAACCTCCACCATCCGCACGCTAAAGTCCGTGCTCAAGTACGCGTGGCCGTCGGGCGACCCGAAACTGCAGTCCCGCCTGGTCGGCAGCATGGCGTGCTTGGTGCTCGGGAAAGCCGCAACCATTCTGGCGCCGCTGGCACTCGGAGACTTGGTGAACAGCCTAACCGTATGCATTGCAAATATGTTTGGGTCTGGAAGGTTGGAACTTGTAATGCTATCTTTCCATACCTAGGAAATCTGTATTGCATAACCAACATAAGCCGCGGCCTCTTTTGTACATGCAAAAACGCAGTTTCTCATGCGGATTGCCTATGAGAAAGCGTTCTGGAAAGTTGTCATGCTGGGTTGCATTGGAAACTGTTTCTATCATCCACATTTTTGCATCAGAAGTTTCCAGACCCAGACATTTTTGCACTTGATAGACCGCCGTGCGAGCGAGTCCGGGCGCGTCGGACGCAGCCGCCGAGCAGCTCGCGGAGACCTTCTCCCGGACGGCGTCCACCCCGGGTCTGGGCGATTTGCTCACCGCCACCACGGACAGCACCAACGTGCTCCTCGCCACCCCGGAGATGGTCCCGTTGCTCTGGCTGGCGTCGTACGGGCTCGCGCGGTTGGGGGCCAGCGGGTTCTCCGAGCTCCGGACCTACCTGTTCGCGCGGGTGGTGCAGAAAGGGTGCCGCAAGCAGGCGCTGAACGTCTTCAACCACCTGCACACCCTCGATGTCGAGTACCTCCAGGCGCTGAAGTCCGGCGAGATCCAAGCCATCATGAATCGCGCGCTGAAGTCCATGCAGCAGGTTCTCACGACGCTGTTGTGGAACGTGGCGCCAACTTTACTGGAATTCGCTTTTGTGCTCGCGATCGTGTACAATCAGATGGGGTTGTACTCGAGCGGCATTGTGTTTGCGACCTTCTGCAGTTACTTCGGTTTCACGACGGTATCAAATGCAAAAATGTCTGGGTCTCCTCTGGAAGAATGCAAGTTTGTCATGCTTGTCTGGCATGACTCGAGAATCTGTGTTGCATAGGCACGAAAGAGACCTCTTAACTGTCACGCGAAAAGGCAGCTTGCCATGCGGAATACGTAAGACATGGCAGCCACAAAATTTGTCATGTATAACTGCGTACTGCGGCGCGTCTATCATTCACTTTTAGCATTACAAGTTTCCAGACCCAGACATCTTTGCATTTCATAGACGGCCTACAGCAACAAGCGGCGGGAGTACATGAAAGAATCGAATAAACGCGACGACCGGCTCGCGGGGCAGCTGGTGGACTCGGTCCTGAATTGCGAAGCGGTGCGGCACTTTTCCGCGGCGAAGCGGGAGGCCAGGCGGTACGACCGACAGTTAGCGAAATACGAGGAGAGCCAGGTACTAGGGGAGTCAGTGCACGATCCTGTGAAAATGTCTTTACTTGATCAATCTTCATGCATAACTCGCCACAGGAGTGTGGTTATCGTCATGCTGTTTATAATCTTGAGTTTCGAATACCAATCCAACCTCTACTTGATGTGGTACTGCAGTCCCCCCGGCATGGTGAGAAGTTCCAATTTAATCACTGTCAGGTGCAAGTCCTGCAATCCCTCGCCACTTTGAATATCAAATGCAAAAATGTCTGGATCTGGAAACATGGAACTTGTAATGCTAGCCCTACATTCCTGTAAGATCTGTATTGCATGACCAACAAAGAAAACGCCCTGTTTTGTCACGCGCATGGCAAAGTGTTCGGCAAACTTGTCATGCTTGGCTGCCTTGGGAAGTGTTTCAGTCGTGCACAGTTCAGCATCACAAGTTTCCAGACCCAGACATTTTTACAGTTGATATGGAACTTTGGGCAGCAACTGGTGATCAACACCGGCCTCCTTTCCATCATGGCACTGGCCACCTTCATATGCATTGCAAATATCCCTGGATGTCCGGAAAATATGGAATTTGTGATGCTAACTTTCGAGGATACAAAAACCTGTATTGCTTTATGAGCAGCAGAAGCTATGCAGACCTTTGCCAACCGGACAGGGCTGCATTTCTCATGCCGGATAGGCATGAGCAAGCCTTCGCGAAGACGAAACCTGTGATGCTAGAGCATGCATCAGTGGCATCGCAGGTCTTGTAAAATCTGCATGACAGACTCCCCGAATTATCTTCCAGACGTCCAGGCAGATAATTTTCAGTTGATACTTCAACGTGCTCAACGGTTCCGTCCCCGTCGGGGACGTCGTTGCGGTGAACACGCTGATGCTGCAGCTCGCGCAACCGTTAAACTTCCTCGGCGGCGCGTACCGAATTACTCTGCAGGGGGTGTTGGACTTGCAGCGGCTGGAGCAGTTTTTGACCGACCAAAAAGGGTCCTTGCCCGAGGGGGAAAAAGATTTTCAGTACGCTGGCGGGAAAATCGAATTTGAGAACATCGATTTCCGTGCGCTGAGGGATTTCAACTTGAAGATTCCCGCGGGAGCAAAAGTTGGGATCGTCGGGCCGTCCGGGAGCGGGAAATCCACCATTCTGAAGTTGTTGGCGCGGACCGCGAAGCCGGAGAAGGGCCGCACGTTGGTGGACGATCAAGATCTGATGGACGTCACGCAGGACAGTTACGCCAGCGAGATCGGCATCGTTCCCCAGGAGTCGATTCTGTTCAACGACACGCTGCGGTTCAACTTGGAGTACGCGGCGTTGGCGGACAGTAAAGCAGCGCTAGATGATGATGATGTTGACACATCGACAAGTACGGACGTAAAACTCGCTCTCACCGACGAGGAAGCGGAGCAGCAAAGGGTCAAACTCCAGCAGCAAATGGAGAACGCCTGCAAGCTCGCGCAGGTCCACGACGTCATCGAGAAGTTTCCGGACCAGTACGAAACGGTCGTCGGCGAACGGGGGTCGAGGCTGTCCGGCGGGGAGCGCCAGCGGATCAGCATTGCGCGCACGTTGCTCCGCGATCCAAAAATTTTGCTGTTCGACGAGGCCACGGCGTCTTTAGATTTGGAAACGGAGGACAAGCTGACGCGGGCGATCCACGATTTGATCTCGAACAGCAGCAACAAAACCATGCTGATCGTCGCGCATCGGCTATCCACGGTGAAGCAGTGCGATTTTCTGCTTTACATCGACGGCGGGAAGGTCGCGGAAATGGGCAGTATCCTAATTAAAAACGTCCCCACACCAGAGTCACGATGGGAAATCTGCTAGACAAATCAGCCAGCTTTGGTTGTCTGGCATGACAAGTTTGCCCTCGTAGTGTAATGCTGTTTAGCTAGTTCACAAGCATTACAGACCTAGCATAGCATGCAGCTTATAGCATCACAAATTCCAAAACACGAATAGAAAATGCTTCTCATAGGGCTCCGCATGAGAAGCTTTTTTGGCATGCAGAATTGCATTACAGCTCTGGGGTGGGGAAGTTTTTACTCAGAATAGGCAGCCACGAGGAATTACTGAAAAAGGAAAACGGGTTGTATCGGAAGCTTATCCTGTGCAAAAGTATCGTACTCGTATTGCAATCATGCATTACAAATCCTGTTCTTAAGGCAAATTAGCATTACAAATTCAACTTCTCATGCGGAGGAAATTTGTAATGCATTTATACGAGTACGATGCTTTTGCAATTCATAAAGCTGTGGGCGACCTACCAGAGAGGGGTGGGGATAGGGAATAACAACAACGCCGGGAACAAGAAGAGTTGATTGCAATCTGCTTTCTTATATGCAAAAGATTTTTCCATGCAGAGATGCGCAGAAACTTTTACTTTTGTGTTGCACCCGAAGAAACAAAGATGAAGCAAGAAACATACACAATCAAAAAACTCGTGTTGGCCCAACATCCCGCTGCGCCACAACGCTTCTATTTCCGCAGCTGTAGCCCAGTACATGGAGCAACGGCGTGACATGAAACAGTGTTCTTGAATGCTAGCCGCACCTGCAACTACCTGAAAGAACAACGGCCACCTTGCCATGAAGCAAAAGTGATATCCAGTGTAAAAAATCGAGCACGCCAAAATAAGGATAAACGTGAGAACAATTTTCCAAACGCAGATGCAAAAAATTATTTTACAAACACTTCGCCGCCAGAACACAGAGAGAAGACAGATAACATCTCTTCGTGTTATATCATCTTCAGTTGTAGTTCTCCTGGTTCTCTGACAGCGACGTTTCCTGATATGTAGTAATTACGATGACTTCTAAAACACGATGTTGTGAATATGAAGATAGCGACGTGCTAGACCCAGTGCAGCTACTATAGTAGATTTATTTCAAGACGGAAACGGGGTGTATTCTTGTTTTCGTTTATTCCTCCAAATATCTTCGTGCTCTGCCTAGATCTAGACGAGAACAGCAGTCGAACTGTGTTTACTTACTAGAAGACGAGTGAGAACAACATCTTCAAGAAGCGTTGAATAGATTAAGAGCGACTTCTGAACCACAGCGTCTTCACTTCTGTAAAGTCACTTCTTTATCAGTCTTGGGTAAGTATATGGGCAACATTTTTTCCTCTTCCCCAGTAAAAACCGAAAGCGACACAACAACACCCAGTACTAAAGCGACGAGCACGAGTAACAAGCGAAGAGCCTCTCTTAGTACTAGCGAAGAGAGCCCATCTAGCAAGAAAACCAACATGCCGTCCGCAAAAAACTCGGTAAAGAAGCCCGCCGGGAAGCAGCTCACGGCCGCTGAGCTTGGCGAAAAGTATGTGGGGACGGGGAAGCCGGGAGGTATAGTTTAGTTGTTCATTGCGGGCGCCGGACGGCAAGAATCTTGAAGCGGTTTGATGTGTAAAAAATGCGTTTCTATAGTCGTGGCGGGGATTTAGAAGTTTAAGTTGTAAGATTAAGATTCCAAAATCAAAAAATACCACAAGGTGCCAAGGATCCCAACCCAGCGAGATGGGAAGACCACAAGCAGCATCCCTTCTCATCCGGGCTGTGCATAGCAACGTTACTGGACGGGAGCAAGTGCCAGAAGACCTGGGCGGAAGCGTACGTCCCCTACTGCAAGCCGTGCATGGAGAAGGGCGACCCGTCGGCAAAGGTAATAACGCACGAGCGGTTTGGCAAGTGCCTCGTCGCGCAAAGGGATCTGCTATCAAATGCAAATGTGTCTGTGTGGTCTGGAAATAGAGCGATATTCATATTTGTCATCTCGCGGTTTATTTCGCATGACCAGTAGGGTCTGGTACTTAATAGTATGCACGCCTACGAGCATGACAGGTTCTGCGAGGGCTGCTTCCCAATGCCTTGAGCTCGCCTTCTTTCCGCGCGAGCAAAAGCGGCTAGCTTGTGCTGTTCATGGAAGACAGATCTCACCGTCTTCCTGAGCTAGCATGACGAATTTGCCGCTCTTTTCCAGACCCAGACAAATTTTGCACTGCATATCTGCCGAAGGGGTACAAAATGGCCTTGTTCGGAAAGGTTTACGAAGAGGAAAACATGCCGGAGGCGGACAAAGAGTGGGGCTTCGAGTGCTCGGACGGCACGTAAAATTTCTATTACGCCACGGCATTTTCCTACTTTTTTCTGCTTGATGTTTCTTTGTCATGCAGCAGCGCTATATATAGAAGGACGCGGTAGTACCATCATCAGTACGCGGAAGTTTTTTTGTCACACTGCTCGTCATCTTCACGGCTGTAAGAACAAGAAAAAACTCGAAAAATAAAACCTCTCAGGTTCATCAACCCGGTGAAGTACAGCGGCAGCCTCCCCCAGTTCTGCCAGTGCCCCGGCCCCAACGAAAAAGTCACCGTCACCTTTGCTCAGCCGCACTTGCTAATGGAGGCAGTGTATCGATTGCAAAGCAATAGCGTTAGATTCGTACTCGGACATAATTGCAAAAATGGTGCGTGACAGGTGTAATAGTATGTAGCTGTGGGCGATGCAGCTCGTCAGCACGAGAAATTTGAATTTCATTTATCAGCATTCATTCTGGATGAGAAATTTGTGTCGTTATGCGAAAGCGAATAGTACGATATTTTTGCAATGCATACCTTGGAGAGGCACGAAGACCGCGAGTATCCCTACGCGTCAATGGTACTAATGGTGGTGCTCACTTGATGTTTCAAGAGTTGCATCATGTGTACACAAGAAAGACAAAATAGAGGTATACAGTTGTCATTCGTAGCAATCATGTTCGTGGTCCATATCAAGATTTCCAATCCGAATTTACATCGAAACAGCTCTATCAAATGCAAATATGTCTGGGTCTGGAAACTTGTGTTGTTGATAGATGCTTGCATTGCAAACTTGCTGCGTGTAGGTGTACGGCATAACAGCATCAGAAATTTCCTTCGGAGCCATTCGCGTTTAGCATTACAAACTGCCATCCAGCACGACAAAAAAACCGGCCAATGGTATTCATTCATTACAGATCTTGTTGTCCTTGAAGTCCTGCGTCACAAATCCAGACCCAGACATGCTTGCAATGCATAAGCTCTTCCAAACGACGATGCCTGTGCCGAAGAATCACCAGCTGGTGATGATGTACGCGGAAATATCCTGTGTAAAAGCATACCACCCGACGCCATTATTTGTCATGCAAATCGGCATGCCCAGCATTGAGTCGAATGTGAATGTGTCTGCTCATGCGCAGCCCCATGAGGAGCATATTATAATAATTCTACCTGGCAAGAACGGATTGCTTTTACTCAGGATAGGAAAACGAAAAAGCTACCGAGGTCTTCTTTTCCGAGCGCGGAATCAGCAGGTGTGACGTCTGGCAGAAGTATGGATTGCAAATATCGACTTGGGTCGTTGCGGAGAATGCGAAAAAAACTTGTGATGCTCTCTGTAGAAGCTCACGTTCTTTTGCATGAGTAGAAGCAGTGCCGTCCCAGGAGTTTCTGCGACGCAGTGATGGGTGTGTTTTGTAATGCAAGATAGTAAGCATTGCAAATTCTTGCCAGAATCTGTGCTACAAGTAGTCCACGACCACGCATTTTGTGCAGACCTTTCGGGGCATGGAAAACCTGCATCACAAGTATCTGCATTCTTTGAGAGGACCCAGACTGCGTATTTGCAATGCATAACAAGAATGCCCCGACGATATTGAAGAAGTGCGCGCCCGCGGACCCGAAGAATTTGAAGCTGACGGGCAAGCCCATCAGCAAGGCGGAGAAGGACAAGAAGGTGAAGGCGTGTATGGAAGCGTCAGGTTTGAAATCGACAAAGTTGAAATGATTTGTCATGCATAAAATGGATACCAGTTGGAAGCCCAATTTTCAAGCGGCACATGACAAATTTTCGGAGCACCGAAAGCCAATTTGTCATGCTGTTTGGGCATAAAAGGCGTCTTTTGTCATGCTACTTTAGCAGCTCTATCACAGACCCCAAACAGGCTGACAATCTGCCTCGCTTGCCATCCCTGCAAGAGAGACAATTCACGCCTTGCATTTCATGCATGACAAATCCTTTCAACTTTGACGATTTCAATCCTGACAGATCCATAGCGTGGGAGCTCCACGAAAAGCAGAAGATGAAGTCGGCAGCCGAAAAGGAGAACATGACGAAGCAGAAACTGAAAATGAGCAGCAACGCCACCGCGATGAGTAAGATGAAGGAGGTGAAGAAGAAGAACGGCAAGGACAAGTCCGGCAAGAGTACGGGTAGCATGAAGTCCACGGCGACCAGCTCGAAGGCTGCGATGAAGAAAAAGTAGGATGAGAATCGATGCGATTAGATATCCAGGTGCAGGAGGAGATACAAGTACAGTCACCTGCTCGACGTCTCGTCCTCGTCAGGATGATCCGTTTACTTCACCAGTACACGTCTTTTTACCCTGCTGTTGTTTCATCGAATGTTGACACAAAGTCTGTTCTTTCGATGGCAACTATGCTTTAAAGGTGTTTTTTACGACGCAACAATTGGGGAAGAAAAAACTTTGTTCTTGACTGCGCGCCGGGGAAGAAATGAATAAGTAGAATGCAGCACTACAATTATTACCTTTACTGTGGATGAAACACTCTACGATCCAGGGTTGTTGTTCTCAAGGTACTGTAATACAAAAACACGACCTCCGTTTGGAAGATAAACGAGAGGTGTCACAGCTTCCACTGGAACCTTTGTGATAATTTCGATTCCACCTACGATTGTAGAACTTCTACCCTCTGCTCGAAGATGGCACAGGGATGTCTAGATTTTTTTGGTTTTTACTTACGACCCCCTGGGAGTTGATTTCAATCTTTTATCTTTTGCAGCTACACGCTAAAAGAAAACCAAAACTTTGCTTTTGACGCTGTGTTTTTTTTTTGCATGAAAAGCGACAACTACAAGGTAAGTACAATACTAATGAAAAGAATCGGAGTTTTCCTCTACCATCACTTGGACGCGTTTCAATCTGACACCGCGAGCGGGTTTGGATGAGTAAAAAATAGTGTTCGACTGTGTGTTGTGATGTCCTGCTTTTATCGCCACTTTTTTTTGATGGATAGCGCCTCGGATGTTTTTTATTTGATGGTTTTCACTCGTCACGACCTGGAGCGTACTTATATGGCTTGAACTGAAGATCGATAAAAATGTGTTTTTCTTTTTTGTGAAAGAGACGGGCTTTTTTTTTGTTTCGCGAGGATCATCCCTTTGTCGCATCCGCTCGTAGTTGTTGGTTTTCTTCTTTTTTCCTTGCTTTTAGTTTTTTCCACTATTCTGTTTTCGCTGCAGGAAGAGTTAAGTGGTTTTGCGACCAGGTCGTGGTCCCTTGACCACGTGACGTGTAAAAATAGCTTTCAAAACGACGTATCAGTCGCACCTCGATCGCTGCTCTTGCTGCGTTTGCGCAAATGGTATTGATTCTTTGACACAGCTCATGCCGACTTTTCCTTCGCAAAAAATGTTAATCTCCAATATCCCTAGCCTTGTAGAGGGCCCACGATGTAGTTCCGTGGAATTCTAGTTTGCTTTGAATCCTCGTAAGAAGCAAGAAGTTTTTACAGCGTGGGTTCCTGCTTCCTATAGCTCGATACCATGTCCGCGAACCAGGGCGCGCGGTCGCGGCTCGGCGCGTCTCTCCGGGCCATGACCGGCGGGGGTCAGAAGGCCGCGTCGAGTTCAGCCGCGGGGAGTAGTGATCATGCCGCGAAGGAGGTCGAGATTGTGAAATTGGTGCCACCGCAGCGACTGGAAGATCTCTACCAGTACGATGTAAAATTGTACGACGCAGGTATAAAAATGATGATATTTTGGTGTGACAGTGACTCAGGTCATCATCCTTGTCATGATGCAGTGGAGGAACCAACTACAAGCATGACAAGCATTCTCTCTCAATGCCCTCCCGCATGACAAATTCCTTAGGTGACCGCAGCAAAGTTTTCGCGGCCAAAGAGCGGGCGACGGGCAAGGACGTGATCGTGAAAATCAGGAAGATATGCACGGCAAATATCTCTGGGTCTGGAAAGATTCACCTGATTTGTGTTGCTGAGTTTTGCATGAAAGAGCGATGTTCTGCACGGTATAAACGCATCACAAATTTTCCGTCCGGTATTGCGAGCTCCACCGCGGTGTGCATGACAAACTGAGATTCACTGCATGACAAGAAGTTGGCCAATCGCATTGATGTATTACAGATCTCGTTGGGTTTTCAATTTTGCATCACAAATTCAGACCCAGACAGGTTTGTAATGCATAAAAGAAAGGTTTCTTTTCCGGCGGGGAACGGGTCTGGCGGTCGGTGCTGACGAGGATGATGAACATATGCAGTGCAAAAGTATCGTACTCGTATCAATACATCACAAATTTTATTCTCAGCATGAAAAATAAAATTTGTAATGCTGATCTACCTCAAGAAAAAGATTTGTAATGCATGACTGCAATCAGTACGAGTGCGATGCTTTTGCACAGCATAGAACATTGAGGAGAACGAAAATGTTCTAGGGATTGACACCATTCTAGAGGACGACAAAGGTATTGTCATTAACATTAAGTCTTGAAAATGATATAATACGAGTCTTTTCACATGCACTTTCGCGAAGCTTGCTTGCATGTCTTTGTCCGACCGATGCCGATGCTATTGGAACAAGTCGAGTGCTAGTATACTTGCATCAAAGAAGGAGTGTCAGTTTTATGTTTATCATGCACACAACGCACTAAAATGATTATTCCCAGCCTACTACGTGATCATGCAGAAGTGCGGCGGCGGCGAGCTTTTCGACTTCCTCTTAAACGAGACAGACGTCCCGGAGCGGGAGTGTAAACGGATCATGCGGGAAATCCTGAAAGCGGTGGACCACCTGCACAGCAAGGGGTTGATCCACCGCGATATCAAACCGGAAAACGTTTTGTTTGAGAAGGCAAAGGAGGAGCAACAGTCCCCGGAAGAGCAGCGGAAGTTGAAATTGATCGATTTTGACACCTGTGCATTGCAAAAGTATCGTATTCTAGGATGAATTGCATCACAAATTTTCTGAAGAAGAAATATGCAACTTGTCATGCTACTTCGGGTAGAAAGTCGAATTTGTCATGCAATTGCCCTACGAGTGCGATACTTTTGCAGTGGATAACCACTGCCAGGACTGGACACCGAAATCGCCGAAGGCGCAAAGAATCGTCGGGACACCGGGGTACATCGCGCCGGAGAGCTTTCGCGGGGACTACACGCCAAGTAGCGATCTGTGGTCCGTGGGCGTGATTCTGTACATTCTGATGACAGGGGACATGCCGTTTCCGGAAGACGTATCTTAGACGATTCTGTTGTGTGTTTTGTGATTGTGACGCATGATTGTCCACTCGTGCTGTGGTCCTGTTCGATGCAAATTTTCACTGCTTAAAAATAATGAACACAGGTGTTCGGCGACGATATTGCGGGCAACAATCAGGTCGGCGGCGCAAAAATGGAGCAGATCTACAAGCGGCTGAAAACTTTCCAGATTGACTTCGACTGCCCGCCGTGGCCGGATTTCCCGCAGGCCCGGGACCTGTGCTCCCAGTTGCTGGCGTTTGACCCGGGTGACCGGAGCCCGAGTGCCGCGGACGCACTGCAGCATCCGTGGCTGAAGGAATGATAACGAATGTTGTACGTCGTAAATATCAAGATTATGATCTGTTTCACCAGTGATAAAGCAGTAAGTAGTAGAGTGTAAATGTAAAATTCGAAGACAAGAACGATTTCAAGCATAGTATCTCGATGGACGAAAAAGACAACGAGTACAACTGTTCCATGTTGTGCTATCACGAAGAAGAATGAAACTTAGGAATGTGCAAGATTAGGAAACAAAAATGATCTTGTTTGAGGAATAGCTTTGCTACCTCAAAGTGTAAAAAGAGAAAGTGAACACGTATTGTTATCATGGAGAAAGCAAACGCGCCGCGTCCAGCACCGACGGCCGTAGCGCTGCGGCGCTTACCAGATGCGATTGCGAGACCTGCAATCTGCTGTTCTTCCAACATTTTTCTTTCACCGAAAGCGGCTGAGTGGGGCAGAAGAAATCGAGGCGCGAGCAAGATCCTGCCGCGAAAAAGTAAAAGCTGCGCGCTGCGGGGCGAGGGTGCACTCGTGACACCCTCTTTATGGCTAGCGCGCGGAGTGCCTGAGGTTCTGGCGTAATTGAGTGTCAGCACGACCACGTGGCGATGCAAGCTGCCGCTAGAGCGACGGAGGGAAAACTGTAACTGTTACTGTGTGAGGGAGGGGCATCTCCTGACATTTCATGCACAGCATCATGTCGATCCTCTAATGAACTTAGTGCTCTAGAAAAAACTACAAATAATGGCACACAAGCTTTAATTCAATATTCGACCGAGTTCTTCTTTGCTAAAACACATCAAAGACAGAAAATATAGTCCGTGTTGCGGAGGTCTCTCGCTGTTCTTGAAGCTGCAGCTGTTTCTGTCTTCTGCCGACCCTGGGAGAGGAAGCTGCTAGCTTTTCCACCGACCAGCCTCTGTGCCTTTTTTTTTTGCAGCGAAGCTTGTACCCGGCGGTAGATCAGGAAGTTGAACTGAGACGGCTTGCTTTCGCGGAAACAGCAAGCAAATCACCGGAGTCCATCCAGATCTACGAGATACACAGGTGGCTTTCTCCCGAAGATTTTCTGTGTGGCCCTGCAGAAAAATTTTCAGGCCGGTTCGCGGTCAATAATTCGAGGCAAGCTTCGAACATTCCGGGTTTGGTTCTCTTTGCCACGTTGACCCACGAGGTGGAGAATAAAGAACGTGACCGCGCCCAGCTCGTACCATCCTAACAACTGGCGACGGTGGTGGTCATTATCATCTTCGCGTCTCGACGTGGACGACATTGTCAGCAGTGCGGGGAGGTGGGAAGAAAACCAGAGAACAACGGGAGAAAAACAGCCACAGCGGCTCCTCTTGCAAGACCGAATTATTTTTCGCTGGATCAACATTGTCATTGACGAGTGCTGACGTGGCGTAGGTAGCCCCGCGGCCGTACGGTGCAGAGCTGTAACCCACTCTGGTACAACTGTGCATGTGGATGTTCTTGTAACACCACCAGGACCACCAGCTCTTCAACGCAAGATAGAAGGTATAAACCGCGAGCTGGTTCTTGTGCACGACGAACACCATGGACGATTTGGGCGCAGAGCAGCACAGCGACAAGCCGTATGACGAGGCAATCGAGGTGTCCGGCGACGACGCCAGCACGCCAACGTCATCGCCACGACAAAAACCACTCTACGATGTGCCGTCGCACGCATCACCCAGTCCGAAGGGGAAGCCGGAGGTAAAAAAGAGGGATGCTGCGTACTTGACAACCTGGATTTTGGATCGACTTCTATGCGGTGCAGCAGCATGTGTGAATTAAGGCATGGCAGGAATGTTTGAACTTAACAAAAAAAAATACTTTTTATCCCCTCACAGCCCCTCGAAACCGCCGTCAAGGCGTCATCCCCGGGAACGAAATCAACACCGAAATCGAGCCCTGGGAAGTCAAGTCCCGGGAAGTCAGCAAGTCCGAAACCGGCAAAGAGTCCCGGGAAGGTATGTATTGGGACGTTTGCATGACAAGTTTTTTGTGTGAAAATTTTTGTTTCTCATGCTGATTTGCCCACTGCGATTGCTTTTGTCATGCCATTCTGGATAATGAAACAGGAATCTTCTTCTTCCGATGCCACTAGTACGAGTTCTAGCGATGACGACGAAGGAATGATTATCCTGAGTAAAAACGTACCCACACCATAGTTGTCATGCAAATCTGCATGCTGAGAATGTTTCTCATGCGGAGCCCCATGAGAAGCATTTTCTAGTCGTGTTTTGCAATTTGTCATGCTCCAATCAGCATGATATGCTAGATCTGTGATGCTGCTGAGCTAGCTCAAACAGCACTACACTACGAATCCAAATTTGTCATGCAAAACAGCCAAAACTTGTGGATTTGTCTAGCCGATTCCCCATCTTGACTATGGTGTGGGTACGTTTTTACTCAGGATAATGATAGCCGGGCAGTATAACCCCGCAGACTACGCAAATTTGAAGGTAAGGATTACGATTAACTCCATCTTTGTCAGTACGCATGACATGTTTTTGTTTCTCATGCAGCACTCCTTACTCGTTCTCACCTCAGAGAAGATGAAAAAAGAACAACAAAAACAGGTCTCCCCCGAAGTCTCCGAGCTGTTTCAGTACATCACGAGGTATAAGCCCCACGCCATAGAATTAGATACGAAACTGAAAGCCTTCATACCCGACTTCATACCGGCGATAGGCGAAGTGGACGCGATGATAAAAATTCCGCGCCCCGACAACAAGCCGGACGGGCTCGGGCTCACGCGGGTGGACGAGCCGTGCTTGAACCCCGCGGACCCGGCGGTTTTGGAGCTGCAACTGCGGTCCATATCGAAACACCAGAACCTAACCCCGATAGAAGTCCGGAGTGTCCGAACCGACGCCGAGATAAAACAGTGGGTGAACAGAATAGGAGACCTGCACCGGATATGCATTACAAATATGTCTGGCTCTGGAAGATTGCCAGATTTGTCATGCTTGTCTGACATGACTCGGACCTCTGTCATGCGTAGGTGCAAAAAGATCGTTTTGTCTGTCAGGCAAAAGCGCAGTCTGCGATGCGGACTACGCTACACATAGCACCTCAAAAACTTGTCATGCTTGGCCACGTATGACAGAGCGCCCAGTATTCCCTGGTTTGCATCACAAGTGTCCAGACCCAGACATATTTGCATTTGATATCGGAGCAAGCCGGCGACGGCGGTAGTAACTTCGTCACAACATGAAGGAAGATGCATCAGGCGATAGATCTGAGGGTTTTTCGTTTCTGAATTTTTGTGATGCGCAAAACAGGATACTCATACTTTACCTTCTCATAACATCAACCACAGGTGCAATACAGCAAGAAGATGCCGGATATAGAGACGCTGATGCAGGTGTGGCCTGCAGAAATGGAAAGTTATCTGGAGCAGAACTTACCATCATTGCAACTGGCAGCGTTGGACCACAAATCGCTGAGCTTGAAGGACTACATCAAGGTACTGGAGGAACGATTGCGATAACATGTTTAAGAAGTAAGTACATGATTTTTATTGACGAACATGTTTAATGATCTGGTAACCAAATGCGTGCGCGCGCGCGCGCAGAGCGCGCGCCGGCCCACGAAGCCGGCGCGCGCGCTCTGCGCGCTTGCGATATTGCTTAGCAAACGCAGCGCGAAGGCAGTTGCCGTTACCATATA